CCCATGCCCCACACCCCCCACCCTACACCCCCATGTCCCACACACCCCACACCCCATCCCCCATGCCCCATGCCCCATACACCCCGGGCCTTTGGCCCACCACTGAGGCCCCGGTCAGCACGGAAGTGTTCTTCAAGACTTACTGACTTCTTCCCATGAAAGAAAAACGGAGTTGACATCCGTTCCATCTGAAGGAGAGCCCCATGGACGCTCTCCCCTGTGCTCCTGAGTCCTGGGGTTCGAACCCAGGGCTTCACACTCTCCAGCAGGCTTGCTCATCCCAGCACTCTCCTGCTTGGGCCACGCCTCCAGCCTGGCTTTTTGCTGGTTACTTGGCCAGGGGAGCCTTGTCTGGTGAGACTCAGCCCTCCATAGCTAGGACGGCAGGTGTGAGCCGCCAGGCACACCCTGCTCCTGAACTCTGAGCAAAGCTTACTTTTTAAAATGGATCCATTTTCTTGTGGACGCGTGTTCAGCAGAGGTTGAGTGGGTATTTTAATCACCATGCTGCTGGGCTCCTGAACCCCGTGTCCTGGAAGTTTTAAAACGTTTAGAGCTGGTGCGTTGTCATGAGGACGCAGAGTCGGGTTCTCTCAGGCTGACGTAACCAGGCCCTCAGCTGCCTGTTGCCGGCTCTCCGTGCCCGCCTCTCCCTGTGGCCCCTGTGTGGATGGCTGCTCCGTGTTTACGTGGTGGCTGGCTGTTGCCCTTCATGAATCCATTTTATTGGCAATTTTCTATCACTCAGAGGTGGGAATCCAGTGTCATCATAGAAATAGCCCCAGGAGGAAATATTACCATCCCAGGCTCTCTTCCTTCTGCTGGGATACCATTTCCTCCTTTATCCAGCAAACTCCTACTCATCCTTCAAGACCCAAATCAGGATACCCTTCCTCTGCAAACGGAGTTAAAAGCCCGCGTGGACTGTAATGTCTGTTGTCCAATATGGCAACTAAGCACTGGAAATGTAACTGATGCACGTGGCTAGAGGATCCTGAGGCCCTAAAATAAGGGACCTGGTACCCAGCAGGCTTCTGGGGCTGAGTCAGCCCCTATCTGTTCCCTCGGTCCTCCCCCCACGCCCCGCTGCCAGTCCCCCTTCTGCTTCACCCAGGGCCCCATGCAGCGGGGCTCTCCCTCTCCCCTCCTCCCTCCCCATCTCCCCACCCCTCTCTCTAGGGCTGGGAGGTGTGGGATGTGTGGCAGGCTGCGCGCGTGCCAGCCCTGTTTGCGTCCTCAGGAGATACCGACTGCGGGCTGAGTCGGAGGCGCGTCAGAATTGGAACCAGAAGTGGGGGTTTCTGACCACGCCCTTCGAGGAGGTAATTTAGTGCCCAGTCCCGGGCATGGCGGTCCTTCACGAAGCCGGAGGCTGCCGTCTGCCACTTTCAAAAACTGGGTTAAAGAGCCTGGGCGGGCAGAGGTCACTCAGTCCAGAAGGTTCCTCTGTCAAGTGCCAGCCCTTCGCCCCACGCCAGGGGCGCCAGGCCAGTGCGTGGTGGGCAGCAGCCCTCAGTCTATGGGACAGGCAGGCAGGGGCGGCTGGAGTCCACCCAGCAGCCACGTGACTCATCAGCTGACCGCCTGGCCTGGCCCTTTCCATCTGGGAAGCGGGAGCTGGCCCTCAGCCGCCCAACGCAGAGAGTGGTGGGAAGGAAGCGGGGCGCCTCAGGCCCCGGGGCCGAGGGCTGCGAGGGGTAATTGGGAAAACAATCTTTGATTTTGTGTGTTTTGGCCAGCACTGGCGCTGGAACTCCAGACTGTCCCTGGGCTTTTTTACTCCAGGCTAGTGCTCCACCACATGAGTCACACCTCCGCTTCTGGCTTTTTGCTGGCTCGTCAGAGTTAAGAGTCGTACAGACTTTCCTGCCTGGTCTGGCTGCAAACTGGGATCCTCAGATCTCAGCCTCCCGAGGAGCCGGGATGACAGGCGTGAGCCATCGGTGACTCCTGGTGTCCCTAACGTAGGGACACAAATGTAGAAGTCTGCAAGGGCCCTGAGATGACAGAAATGGCAGGAGGGTCAAACCTATTCCTAGAGATGGGTGGAGAGCACGGCGGCCGCAGCGTGAGCCGGAGCCTAAGAGGGAGCAGCGCGGCCTGTGCTCTGGCTGTTGAGGAAGCCCTGGAACCCGGGCTCCTGTGCGCTCCGCCGCAGCTGGCTCACCCCTGCTGCAGAGCCACACTGATTTCAGGCACCGGAGCCGGAGCCGCACCGGAGCTCGCCCGGCCACACAGGGCTAGAAAGGTGCCGCTCACCAGGTTTTTTTAAAAAGAAACTCTTAGGACAGTGACCCGGGCTGAGGTTGTCTGCCTGATTAATGTAATATGTGTGAGATGAGGCCATGTTAATATTCCTTATATGTAATTAAAATGGATCTTAAAGAACTCAAAGTTGCTTTAAAAATCCAAGGGGGGAGGGGGAGGGCAGGATCTCCCGGACGGTTTGAAAGCTTGCTCCGGGGCTCACTGGCATTTTTAAAATTTTTGTCCATAACCTGAAAATGTTCTCAAGTCACTCCACGGGGGAGGGAAATTAGTGGGCGGGGATCAGAAGGTGGATGGCATTGACCGCGGGCTGGGCCAGGCAGCCTGCGAACCCCTCCTTCCTTCCTTCCTTCCTTCCTTCCTTCCTTCCTTCCTTCCTTCCTTCCTTCCTTCCTTCCTTCCTTCCCTCTCTCTCTCTCTCTCTCCCTCTGTGCTTACACTGGGACACGAACTCAGAGCCTAATACTCTTGCTTGACTTTTTCACTCAAGACTGATGTTCTACCACTTGAGCCACAGCTCCACTTCCAGCTTTTTGCTGGTTAATTGGAAATTAAGTCTCAAGCTGGGCTCACACCTGTCATCCTAGCTACTCAGGAGGCTGAGATCTGAGGATCAAGGTTCAAAGCCAGCCCAGGCAGAAGAGTCTCCGTGAGATTCTTATCTCCAATTAACCCCACAAAAACTGGAAGTGGACCTGTGGCTCAACGTGGTAGAGCACTAGCCTTGAACAAAATTCCTCGGGGGCAGCACCCAGTCCCTGACCCCCCCCAGCCCAGGCTGGCTTTGAACCACAGTCCTCAGATCTCAGCCTTGGGAGTAGCTGGATGACAGGCGTGAGCACGGGCATCCAGCACGCTGCCGCTTTCTGACTGTGGAGTGGGACCCTTTCCTGCCCGCTGTTTTGCGCGGCCTCTGGGGGTGGTGAAGAGGCGCCTGACGCGCCCTGCGTGGGGTTCTGCTTTCAGTTGATCAGTGGAGAAGCCCCTCCCACCCCAAAGCCCAAGATCGAGCTTCCGGAACGCTTCCGCATCCGGCCCGTGACCGACGTGCACAAGTACATCAAGGTCTGCATTCCACCCGGGGAGGGCCAGTCCTCCAGCTGCAGTCCCCGGGCGGGGTGGGGCGGGGCGGGGCGGGGCGGGGCGGGGCGGGGCGGGTCCCACCCGGCACAGCTGCACAGCCCTCATCCCCCCCCACCTGCCCCAGGCAGGCTCCGCCCAGTGTCCCAGCACAGGCCTGTGGGGCCCCATGGGACCGGGGACAGCGGCCACCCAGTCTGGGGACGCTCAGGGCAGGACCCAGGCAAGGTGGCCAGCAGGAAGTCCCCTGGAGGTGACAGGAAGCTGGGGAGACTGGAGGAGCACCAGGGCAGAGGGGCAGCACTGCCGAAGCCTGGAGGCCGCTGGCCGGATCCTCACCAGCTGGGGAGGATGGGGACCGTGGGGGACCTCCAAGGCTGGGAGGAGTCAGGACACCCCAGAGCAAAGGACTCCCATCTAGGTGGGGTGTTCTCCTGAGACTCCGTCAGCTGTGGACAGGAACAGAAGTTTCTAGAAACAGTGAGCTTCATCTATGCAGGGGTCTCCTCCCAGGTCTGTCCCTGCTGGCTGTGCGCTCCAGGGGGAAAGGGGACAGAGCCCAGCACGGCCGCCAGGTGCAGGGCTGGGATCTGGGGCTCTGCTGGGCCGGGGCCTCGGCTGCGGCTTCCTTCACGCTGGCCGCATCCATTTGCTGACTCTTGAGCTGGCCATTACAGGGGGTCCTCCTGTGCCCCTCCCAGGCCTGGCCTCTGGGCCCAGGTTCTGCAGGAGGCACCCAGCCCTCCCCCCTCCTCCCCACTCCTTCCTCCCCCTACCCCCTCCTCCCTCCTCCCCTCCCTCCTCCTCCCCTCTGCCTCCCTGACTCCTCAGTAAGCCTGAACTCCTGACCCCGAGCATGCTAAAGCGCTTTATATCTCCTCTTAGAACAAACGTTCCTCTTCCACACCTGAGAGCAGAATGAGCGCTTGCAGGAGGAGGGGGGCGCGGGAGGTGGTGGTGGGGGCACGGGAGGTAGGGGGGCGTGGGAGGTAGGGGGGAGGCTGCCTAAACATTTACCACACCCCAGAGCTCAATCTGCCCAAGAAATTGACAAACCAAGTTGTGCTCTCTCCTGGCAGACCCAGCCAGCATGTGTGTGTGTGTGTGTGTGTGTGTGTCTGTGTCTGTGTGACTGTGTGTCTATGTGTCCTGTGGCCTTGCAAGCCAAACAAGATTCCATCTGGCAATGTTTTCGTTTGTGTTGTTCTCATTGTTTGCTTGTGCTGGTCTAGGGCTTGAATTCAGGGCCTGGGCACTGTCCCTGAGCTTTTCCACGCCAGGCTAGCCCTCTACCACTTGAGCCACAGCTCTACATGCAGCTTTTTGTTGGTTAATCAGAGACAAGAGAGTCTCACAGTCTTTCCTGCCGGGCTGGCTTTGAACCAGGATCCTCACACCTCAGCCTCCTGAGTAGCTAGAGTGACAGGCGTGAGCCCCTGCACCCAGCTCGATGCCATACACGTGCTTGACCCTCGAGCTTGGCAGCTTACTAAATAAAAATGACTTTCCCAGAGGTCGCATCTTCCTCCACGGAGCCGCGCGGGGCGCGTACCTGCCGTCTGCAGGCCCTGCGGGCGCCCGGTCCTGCGAGGGCGCAGGTCTCGGCCTGCCTCGGGTCCTGGCCTGTCTCGGGTCCCGGCCTGCCTCGGTGGAGCTGGCTGTGCTCTGCGTCTCCGGGCCAAGCTCGGTGCGCATCACGGGCCCCTCGGTGGTGCCCCTCCGGTCCCCACGGCCCCCGGTGACCCCTGCCCTGCCCCCCCACAGGTGCTGCCTTCGCCCCCCGTCCCCCAAACCACCCAGGGCTTCATCGGCTGGCGGTCGGGGGTGCCGGGCCTGAACACGAGCCTGGAGCTCGACAGCGAGATCCGCAGCTGCAAAGGCACGTACGCCCGGGAGCTGCGCTGGCCCCAGCAGGGCATCCACTGAGCGGCGCCTCCCAGGAAGAGACCCGCTGCCGCCGCCACAGCACGAAGCCCGCCTGAGGTCTTCTCAGTTCATCCCTGCCTCCTTCTGGAAGGTTCCTGGGGGACACCCCTCTTGTCTTCTCTAGTGACTAAGGCAAAAATAAATACCCCGCTTTCTTTGCTGGTGTGCTTGTGTGTTCATGCTCGACTGTCTGGCTGCCACTTCATAAACACGACGGAGACTTGCGTCTCTCACTCTCCTATTAGTGTTAAAATTGCTGGGTCCTGCCAAGTGCTGTGGCTCACACCTGCGGCTGAGGGCTGAGGATCGTGGTTCAAAGCCAGCTTGGGCGGGAAAGTCTGCAAGACTCTCATCGCCAATTAACCACCAAAAAGCCAGACGAGGAGTTGTGGCTTAAGTGGTAGAGCACTAGCCTTGAGTAAAAGAAGCTGGGGCGGGAGGGCTTGGGGAACAGGTCTTGAGCTCACACCTCGAAAATGGCACAAGGAAAGAACAAAACGATGTGGCAGCCCCAGGTCCTTTGCTGGGAGCTGGCCGGGAACTGAGCGCCTCGTAGATGTGACTTGGTGAATGAGATTAGGACGAGGTCATAGCGGACTTGGGCGCAGCGAGCCCAGCGTCCTGGGAGCAACGCCAGGAATGGTACAGGCAGAAGTTGGCCGCGGAAGCCAGGAAGGCCAAAGTTGCCAGACCCTCCAGAGAGGACCCCACCCCCCCGGGCGTCAGCGGGAACACCAGCTGCCAGCTTTGACCTGGGGCTCCCAAGTGGAGGAGGGCAGATTTCACACACACACACACACACACATGCTGCTTATGTGGGGCCCAGGTCTGCGGCCCCCCCGCCGCCCCCCCCACCTTGCCCCTCTCCACCCACCGCATGTCACACACTTCCCCTGCCCCCACCGCGCTGGTGACACAGGACCACGTGATTTCCAACATAGCCCAAACAATGAGGAGCTTGGCCAAGCCACCCCTGCTCCCTTGGAATGTTCTGGCATTTCGGTCATGGCTGCAGACAGGCACGAGCCCTTGCAGAAGTGCACAGCCCTTCCTGTGAGCCGAGGTCTCACCGCCGTCCAGCAGAGTGGCCAGAAAGGGCCAGGGCCTGGCTGCTCCCGCTGCGGCCTCTCGAGGGGTCCCAGGCAGGCCCCAGGCGGGCCCCAGGGTGGGCACAGCCTCTGAGGCTTGGTCCACGCCCCCGGGAGCTCCCTCCTCTGTGTGCCCACCACAGTTGTGCAGCCAAATGCCCAGAAAATACCACCAGGATCCTGGATCCATCTCTACCCCACGCCTGCACGGAAAGCCCATACGGATCTTCCGGGATGTTCCAGTGGGTTCTCTTTGATCCTGGTTCTGTGTGACTGCTCTCTGTGAACCCGCAGCCCTGCCTTGTGGGTTGTGGGTTGTGGATCAGCAGGTGTGGATGGACAGGACAGGCCTTTGTGTGGACAGCGGAGCCTCAGGAAGACCAGACGGCCCCCCAGGGGGCCCGGCCTGGCCCCAGGGCCCGCTGCTCTGGGCAGTCCGCATGCAAATGAAGGTAACCCTGGCTCCCCTGGGTCTGAAGGAAGCAGCCTCCAGCTTCCCCATGGTGCTTGGTGCACAGACGATTATTCTAAACTAGCCGCCAGCTAGAAACCTCTCTGCTGGCGGGGAGGGAAGTCTGTCTTCAATAATTCATTCGCCAACTAACCACATGTGATAGGTGTCTTTAGTTAAAGAAAAATGAACAGATGGCAAAGGTCCTGCAGGAATTGGATCTAGGGCCTTGGTCCCGCCCCCCCGCCCCTGCTCCCCAGCTTCCGGCTGAGCAACTTGACCTGTCCTCGTGACCTCTAAGTTGACAGTCGAAGTGGACAAGGTTTGAGGATTCAATTCCCATGGCTGAGGTCCAACTTGACATTTATCTGTGGAGATCACCCTCCTGGGGGTGTCCAAATGGGGCCACAAATGTCATCACACACTGCAAAATGCCACTGCGTTGCTGAGATTGAGACACAGCCTGTGATTCTGCATCTATTCCACGGACATGGATGCACGTGGTGAATCTGGGTCTACTCCACGGACATGGATGCACGTGCATGACGCAGCTCTCAAGTGATGCAAAATGATCCAAAGTCCGGCTCGAAACTCAGATTCTCACACAAGCACGCACGCATGCACGCACATCTCAGTTCAGGACAAATTAGAGTCCTAGGAGTTGGGTTAGAAGCAAATGGCACAGCTGAATACAAAATAGAAGTGTCCAGAAACTGGCATCACACATCTGAATGCAGCCAGGACAAGCGTCCCCCAGGACTCTTGGCATCAGGTGTCCAAAGCCTGGGTGCAGATTGTGAGTTCAGAGCGCTGTACATTTTCTAGCTTGCAGCTTACCCCATGTTATGACCTGGCAGGGTCCAGACAGACCCACAAAATTAAAGCCATGGGTGGCTTAGCAAACCTTCAGTGTGGAATGAAAAGCCACAGGTGCATTTGACCCAGGTACATGCTCGCGATTTCTGGGGTTTGGTATATTTTGGAATTCGGACCTGTTCAGAGATTTCTGGAAATGAAAGTTATCATCGTCGAGTGCATGAGGGGCCTGATTCTTTGGATCTGGACTTTCCTGGTTGTAAGAGAAAATGGATCAACATCAGCCCAAGGACAGAAGGATGGATTGACTTTTAACTGGAAAGCTTCAGAGCAATTTGGCTTCAGGCACAGCTTGATCAGGGGTTCAAAGAACATCATCAGGATGCTGGCCCCTGCCTCCTTGGGTTGGCCAGCTCGGTTAGAACAATGGAGACATTTCTGAGATTGCAATGGCAGGCTGGGTTCTTGGAGGTGGTCACAGGGGGAGAGCAGCTGCCTGGGCCAGGACAGTAGCTCGATCATGTCATCACCCACCTGGATGTGTTTTCTTTCCTAACCGAGCCCGACGTTAAGTGTCACCCCCACCGTCCCAGGCAACTCCTCGTGGCCTCGGCAGTCAGGAACACTGGCTTCAATTCACCCCAGCTGTAGAAAAGAAAGCTTCCTGCTCATCTCTGCAAACCTCCCTGGGGAGGGTCCTAGCCCTGTCTTTGAATCAACCACTTGCTTGGACATCCTTTGTGTCTGCTAGCCAACCCCTTCCCAGTCTGCACTGTGACTGTGGTGAAGGAAACAGACAACAGGGTGTGAGCAGAACACCTTCCATAACTCTTCTCAAAGCTATGCCTCATGGTCACAAGACGATTGTAGAAGCTCCTGGCTTTGCTTATTTCCATTGCCAAGCAGAGTAGAAGAGGGGCCTACAGATTCCTTCCCAGGATTCCCATCTAAAGTCTCCTTGCATCTCCTTGACTGATTGGATGCTGTGTCCATTCTTTAAGCCAATCCACAGAGCCCCCAAGTTGAAGTACACCAATCAGCTTAGGCCTCCAGTCTACCCCTAACACAGAGTGGGCTGCCATGCACAGGGACACAGGACAAAGGAGACTTGGAGATGGGCACCCAAAGCCCATCAAATAGTGAGACAATGAAGCAATGGGAGCCTCATCCAAGACCCGATCAAGACACAGGGTTGTAATCCCAGCTCCGTGGAGCTCAAACACGGCCTCAGATCAGGACTCAGGGCTCTGTGGATCTCAAGCACCGCCTCGGGTCAAGACTCGGAGCTCCGTGGAGCTCAAGCACCGCCTCCAGTCAGAACTCAGAGCTCCAGGCCCCGAGAGAGGCGTGAAGCGGCTGTAGGAGCCATCGCCATACCTGTTGCCCTGTGCTGGGCAAAGGTGTTGATGACAGTTCACTGTGCTCACGTGGACTCCAGACAAGCCCTGCTGCATGGAAGGAGCTAAGAGAGCACCGAGGGCGGCCTGCGAGGAGCCAAGAGAGCACCGAGGGCAGCCTGCAAGGAGCCAAGAGAGCACCGAGGGCAGCCTGCCTGGGCCCGGAGAGCCGCTTAGGCCCAGCTCTGAACCATTCCTCACCATGGCCGCCACACCCCCTCTAAGAAGCCCCTTGCTGAAAATAAAGACCAATTCAGTTTTCTGCACATGTCACAGAACCACGACAAAGAAGCCCTACTGCCTTCTGGAAAAGGGGGAAAACATACGTGTACACACACATCTACACACCCATGCATACACTCGTGCACACACGAACACACCCACACCCATGAACGTGCACACTCAGCCACTGTTTACCAGCCCAACGCGTCAGGAGGTGTCAGTCCCCAGGTGTCCCGCCGGGCTGCACTTCCCACGCTGTGACGCTGGGGCTGACATTCACTGAGGAGGAGGCACAGCCCCTCTGGTGTCTCTCCCAGAGGTCACCACCCAGACTCCCACGGAAGAGCAGCCATTGCTGTCACCTGCCCTGCGGCTCCTGACATCCGTCCTTCTCTACCCCACCTCCCCCCACCTCCGTCTGCCCCACAGATCTGAAGGAAGGAGGTGGCCGGCCGCGGTCCCCCTCTGCCCAGACCCCCATCTGCCATGGCCCGTGATCCTGAAACCAGAATCCACCCTTCCCTCCTTTCTTCCTCCAAGTGGGAGAACCTCAAAGCTTTGGGACATTTAACAGTGTCAGACACGGTGTCTTCTCGGTCTGTAAGCCATGCTGCTCACCCTTACCAGACTTCGGAGTTACTTTTCCCCTTCTCCCTACCCCTCCTCCCCAGCTCCCCACCCCCACCCAGTGCAGGCCCAGCGTCAGGAGGGAGGTCAGTTCCAGGCTCCTGCCCAGGCTGGGACACTTGGGGCTACGGCGACCCCTCCTGGGCCCTGGGGGAACTGCAGGGGCGGAGGGCAGCTCAGGGACCCGGGCCGCCCCACGGGAAGGGAAGGGCGGCCGGGACCCCGGGATAGCCCCATCCAGGCCCAGCTGAGGACCACCTGCCCAGGAGCAGAGGCAGACTGGCTTCGCGGGGAGGCCCTCCCGGACCCCATCATGGAGGCCATGCTGCCTTCCCAGGCCAGATATCCAAGAGGGAGCTCGGCGTGCCCCATTCCGACGAAGGCCCGTTGGGCGAGGAT